ATTTCTTACGGGACAATAATATTCTATTAGATTCATATATCATAATTTGTTCATCCATTCCCCAATTGCTGGGTAAACCCCCCTTAATTTCTAGTTCTTTGCCACCACAAAAGAGCTGCTATACCTATTTGTATATGTGTATGTGTATGTGTGTATACATACACACACTCATATATATACATATATTTGTATACATACATACATACACATATATGTTGGTTCTTCTCCTCTTTCTTTGATGTCATTGGAGATATTCCAGATCACTTGTTGACTTGGCAATGGTCAAGTTTCCAAAGGGCTCCTACCTCAAGCTTCACCCCCAAGCCAGTCCCACATTAGACCTCTATCCAACATGTGCAAAGATTCCTAAGCCAATAGTAAGAGATGGATTCCCTCCTCTACTTCATTCGAGGTGGTTACGTGGGTACATTAATCAACTAATTTTGGTATTACTAACTTACAGGATATGAGGTCTATCTAAAGGGAAACAACATATATCATATATACAAATATACATCATATGAGCTATCGTTCCAAATGAGGGCCCACTGATAACTTCTTGGCCAGGAGTGAGTGCTAATAAATCTCCCCCAACCTGAGTAAGTGATTTCTCTCTCCTGACAGTCTTGCATAGTAATCTCGGAAGGGGACCCACAATTCAGGAGCTGGAGAGTAGTGGGGAACTACCTGTCTTATAAGGGCATAGAGGAGACTGGTTCCAGAAATAGAAATCTAAGCAGAAAATGAAAGCTTTATGTAGCATTTACCTGTCACATAGAAGGTAAATTGAGTCAGTAGAAGATTTGGGCTTCCAAATCAGTTCACAAGCCTACAATTGCTGCCCCACCCAGACAAGGGCACAAATAACTATAATAATAATAATGGTAATATCAATACTACTAATAAATTATAAATAGCTAGAATTTATATAGCACTTACTATGTGCCAAGCACTGTGTAACTCTTTACAAATATTCTCATTTGATCCTCACAACAACCCTGGGAGGTAGGTGTTGTAATTATACTCATTTTACGGTTGAGGAAACTGAGGCAGACTGAGGTTAGGTGACTTGTCTAGGGTTACACAGTGAGTACAAACTAAGAGTATAAGAAAAGTGAGAACAAAGTGTTGCTTGAGACCTGTTAAGGGCCCCTGAAGCCCAGACATAATTGATTTCTGATCTACGTGGAAATGCTACCCAATACATCTGGGAGAATATAGCATTATGGTCAAATAAGTCAACAATAAGTGCATTTATTAAGCACCTGTTGGGTGCTAAATCTGACCATGTGCTACACTACAGGGTACTTAGAATTAAGCTCATGAACTAGTTCTTAAAGAACCCTTGTAGTAGATGCTCAGGAAATACTGATGAAATGAACACATAGACAGCTCTGTGAGTCTAACCCAGACTGTGAGCTCCCTAAGCAAAGGGCTTCTGTCTTCTTCCCCTGTCTTGTCCACACTCATGGTACAGGTCTGCTCCATTTCTAGCTCCATCCAGAATCAACCCTTCAAGGTCATTACTATCTTCTATTCCTCCCCTCTTCTCCACATCCAATGATTTGCCAAAAATTATTCTAGACTAGTACCGCCTTGGGCTTGAGACAATCTTTCCCCACTCCACCCAACCCTTGCCAAGCAGAGAAAGAATTCAGGACTGCTAGAGAATCAGTGCTCCTCCATTCATGTACTCTACAGTCCATATGACTCACAGTACCAGAATAATAGCTAATAATAATAATGACAATAGCTAACATTCATCCAGCACTGATGATGTGCCAGGCGCTATGCTCAGTGCTTCACAATCATTATCTCATTTAATTTAGTATGGGACGAGGCCCAAGTTCAGCCTTCACAGCATAGCTCTGGGCCTCATTGTTCTCCAGTTCCAGCTTCTGAAGCTCCCAGCTGACTTCAGGAACTCATCACTTTGCTTCAGGAACTCTGCTTTTCCACCCGGCATCTGAGACCTCAATTGCTGCCATCTGCTTCCTTTTTCTCAGGGAAGGGCTATAGCTTTTCCAGTGAGAGAGTCAGATCCCACATATCCCAGGACCAGTCAACAGAGTTCAGCTGCCTATAGACTGTCGGTGGTTTAGCTTAGGCAAATCATCCTGAAGAGATTTCTGTAGCTGACTTAGTAACGTCTTCTATTTTTTTCATGGAGTCTAAGCATTGGGTCTCAGTGCCTCACCTTTGTGTCCAGTTACCTTTGCTCCTGGGAGCCATTTCCTCATGGGCGGCTCTTTCTAGAATACTCACTAGAGAGTCAGGAGAACTCCATTCTAGTTCCAACCCTGCTCCCATTAATTAGCCTTCTCGGTACCCCAGTTTCCCCATCTGCAAAATGGGGATTATAGTCCCTGCGCTGCTTGGTTCAGTATCTACTGAGACCCTTGCTAGGTGTGAGAGTGCTTCAAGAAGCCAAAAGCCCAGCACAGATGTGTGGAGTTATATCTAGTAATTACTTACTCATGGTCCAGATGTCACCATTGAACTCATGGTCTTATCACTTGTGGCTATAGTAAATATCACCAGTCCAGAATTGGGAAGTCTCTGCAGATTCAGAGCCTCTAGGCTGAGTTCACCTCTGCAGTGGAGACGCATGGTTGCCCACATAGCTGGGATACGTTTCTATCTCTGACTTTCATAATACCCGTTCCCAAGGTGGGGATGGGGTGGGGTGGAGTGGGGAGGGAATTTCTCTTAACAGGTATGTACGAGACATTCAGTAACCCTTCCTTCAGGGTTCTGGCAGCCTAGGTAGCAAAGCTCCATCTCTTCCATTTGCCTGGCACCAAGTGTTGGGTAGGCCAATTACTTTCAAAGGACACGTGGGTAATTGGGGAGTTAAAAAAGGCTGTCGGCGGAGTATTCTAAGCAAACCTGGCTGGGTGCTGCCTTTTTGAGTCTCTACCACACAGTATTAGCATTTGAAAGACCTCTCCATACTGGGGGGTTGGAGCTGGCATCACCCCAATGCTGCTGCCTAGAGACCAAATAGAACATTAAGATTCTGATGCCAAGAAAATGTTTTCAAGACATTAGGGTTTCTGTTATTTTCTGTGTTTACTAATTCTAGCTCCCCAGTGACTTCTCCAGTACCATGCGGTTCAATGTGAGCTCAGGAATGATGGATGGTGGTGGCTTTTTGTGCTGAAGACACAAGAAAACTTGAAGAAGGAATCTTTGTAATAGCCTAGGAAAAGCTGACTCCTTGAAAGGAGATGGGATCATAGAATTTCAAGCTGGAAGGGACCTCACAGAGCTTTTCATTTTTACAAATAAGAAAGTTGAGGCCCAGAGAGAAGTGAAATGCCCAAGGTCACCTAGAGAGCCAGTATTTATTGACTGCAGGATCTAGGAAGCCCTGAACCTCCATAGCAACACAGGGATCAATGGTTCCTGGGCTCCAGGCCCAGTCTGCAAACTTCCTGGGCATGATTCCAGGTGTCCCAGGGGCCAACCAGAGCTCATACCGCATCTCGAAAACTCAGAGACAGCCCTGTGTCTGGTGAAAACAAAACTCTCCTGAGGAACAGCCAAGAGGTCAGAGACAGAATAGAAACCAGGCAGGTGGTGAATCAGGGGGAGGAAAGAGCCTCGAGCTGGGGTGTGGGGAACCTGGGTTCTCTGCGTAGTCAACAACTTGTGATAATGCCTTGGGAAACTCTCTTTTCTTCTCTGAGCCCCTGTTTCTTCAACTATAAAATGTGGAAGTTGACCTAGAACCGTGGGGTTCTTCACCTTGTTTGGGTAATGGACCTTTTGGGTGTTCTGGTGAAGCCTATGAACCCGTCCTCAGAGCAATGTTTTCAAAAGCACCAAAAACAAAGGAAACCAGTTGTAATGAAACACAGTAATCAAAAAAATATTTTCAAAATGAGTTCACGGTTTATTAATCATAATAACTAGCATTATGTAGCACTCTATAAGTAATATCTCATTTGATTATAACAACAGCCCTAGGAGGGAAGGTGATATTATTGTCTCTATTTTACAGCTGAGCACACTGAGGCAGACAGAAGTTAAGAGACTTGCCATAGTAATTGTCTGAAGTGGGATCTGAGCTCAGATCTTCCTGACTCCAGGTCTACTGCTCTAGCCACTGCACCACCCAGCTGCCTCTGGCTAAGAGCCCCTGATCTTGATGAGTGCTTTTAGCTCTTTTTAGTATTAGAAGTACGTGCACGGATGGGTTCGGCCAGGCCCGAAGCAAAAAGTATAGCATCTCTCAGTTGTAGACTATTATCTTGTGGTCCTGCCTCCCACTGGCCTTGTCTAACATGACTCTGTGTTGCCTCTGCCATCTCCAGGCATGTCTTGCAAACAATGTGAAAGAGATACGGAGTTCTTAGTGGAAACAGCCTTCTAACCAATCTCCCTGGCTCCAGTCTCTTCTGTTCTAATTCATCTTACACGTGCTGTGTATAAATAGTCTTAGGACTAGAGCACTCTGATCTCATCAATCTCCTACTCAAAAATTCTCTGGGGTTCCCCATCATTCCTCATTGTCTACTAAATTAAAATAGAAATTCTTTACCTACCCTGGCATTCAAAGCCTTCTATAAGCTGGCTCAAATCTACTCTTTAGCTTTATCTCATACTAATACCGCCCCCATCCCCTTCATGTATGTACTCTACATTCTAGCCAGTCTAGCCTAATCCCACACTGCAATTTCTTGCTCCTGAGCCCTTGACCACAACAGTTACCTCTACTCGGCATGCTATCCCTCTCATTTGCCCTTATTGAAATCTTAACTATCTTTAGAAATTCTAGATCAAATGGCTTCATTTTTTCAACCTTTTCCCTGATACACCCCAATTAGAAATGAGCTCTCTTTCCTGTAAGCCACCATATCAATTCGTCAGACCCTCTCTTACCAGACCTGGTAAGTACTAAAGCCAGAATCATGGTGTCTTAGTCATTCAGGAAGTGGGGTATTGGGGCTTAAAACAGAATTTTGAGGTTGGTTCAGGGACAGAAAACCGTGTCAATGCAGGATCAGAAACCACAGGCGGTGAAGTGGGTAGGCGGATCCCAGGTGAATAAACACATACAGTCTGGTACAAGCAGCAACTTCAAAGTGAGTGGGGTGGGGAGCTAACTGTTATGGAATTAGTGGGATTTGTGCCTAGGAATGTCAGCTGGGCCACTTAATGTAGTAGCAATGGGGCTGAACTTTTGATCAGGGGACTTGAACCCCAATCAATTCCAGCTTATACACTTATTGCCTATGGGATGGTGGACAAGTTGAATCTATGTGATGGGGTGGATAGAGTACTGGACTTGGGGCCAGAAAGACCTGGATTCAAATCCTGCATTAGGTGCTTACTAGCCCTGTGACCCTCGGTGAGTAGTTTCTTTAAATTAAATTTTATTTTATTTTCAGGACTGTATTTTCTTCTCCTCCCTCTCCCCCCACGTCCCCGTTGAGAAAACAAGAAAAACAAAACCTATTATAACCAGCAGTTAAGCAAACCAAATTCTTGCATTGGCTATGCCCCCCCCCAATTTAATTGTCTCCATCTGTACTATGAATCCATCACCACCCACCTCTCTATTTGGAGGTGAATCGCATGTTTCATCATAAATAGGCATGTCATTAACCTCTCTGAGAATGTTTCCTCTGGAAAACGTGGCTAATAATAGCACATTATCCTACGATGAATGCTATTGTGAGTATCAAATGAAGAAATGTATATAAATTACTTTGCAACACTTAAAGCAACATATAAATTCAGGCTACAATTATTAAGTCTGTAAGCCTCAGTTTCCTCATCTGTGATATAAGAGGATTAGATTAGATATTTTCCAAGGCCCCTTTGAACTCTAAATCCGATTATTTTCTGATCTCTTTCAGTCTGCCCAAACGTGTTGCTGTTGGGCATATATCCACCTGCTCCTTCTCTGTCTACTTCCCAGGCTGTTAGCTTCTTGAAGGGGGGTTGGGTGGGGTCTGGGTCTATTTTTCCTCTGACTTCCCTAATCTGAGAATTGCTTGACTATGGGGCCTGAATCCTTTCCTTCTCCCACCTCCCCCCATGTGGGGCCAAACTCAGAGTTTGGCCTGTGGGGGGGCTCAGTAAAGATGTGCTGAATGACTGAGACTGGGATTGATCCTTCATCCTTTCTCCTCTGTATATCCATTAGATTATAAGCTCCTTGAGGGTAGGGAATGTCTTTTGCCCCTTTTTGTATCCCTGGGACTTGGCATGGTGCCTGGTGCATAATAAGCGCTTGATAAATGTTTATGGAATTGAATTAGTTCAAGTAATCAAGAACTTACCTGACCTGGGCCTCCCGTTCATAGCCATTCATTCACACAATAAGCATTTGCATGGGGCCCAATACTTTATTAAACCAAGGGGAGGCAGAAATAAACCAGATCTGGCTCTTGCCATCAGAAAGCTGCCAGTCTAGTAAGGGAAAGAAGGTCATCCTGACCCTATCCACTTTATTCTGCATGTCTGGTCTTCTTATCAGGGCAGAATGGGACACAGATCATGAGGGAGGTTCAGACAAGGTGCTATTGGGGGTTCAGAGTCAAGACAGTTTGATTCCTATTGTGGGGTTTGAGGAAGGCTTCATGGAAGAGGTGGCATTTGATCCTGGCCTTCAAGAGCATGGTGGTCCAGGATGGGCAGCTAGGTGGTGCAGTGGATAGAGCACCAGGCCTGGAGTCAGGAAGACCTGAATTCAAATCCAGACTCAGACACTTAGTAGCTATGTGACCCTGGGCAAGTCATTTAACCGTGTTTGTCTCTGTAAAATGAGCTGGAGAAGAAAGTGGCAAACCACTCCAGTATCTTTGCCAAGAAGACACCAAATGGGTTCACAAAGGGTTGGACATCACTGAACAACAACGACAGAATTTCAACAAATCAGGTTGGGGAATGGACATTCCAATCGGAGGCAAGAGCACAAACAAAAGCATAAGACCGAGAGATCACAGAGTGTCATTGGGGAACAGAAAGTCATCCAGATTTATTGAAATATAAAGAGTGTTAAGGGGAGCAGTAGGAGAGAATGTTACCTGGCTCGATGATTGGACAGCCTTCAAGGCTAAGCTGAGGACTTGGACTTTGTCCTGTGGGCGATGGGGAACCAAGGTTTCTGAGAGTACAAGTCAACAAGCATTTATTAAGCTCTTACTGTGTACCAGACACCGTGCTAAGCTCTGAACAACAGAGCTCATCAATGACTTGTCTCTCATCGAGTCCCCTCTTGCTGGGGTAGCTATAGGCAGTTGTCCAGCTCTGGGAATCTGGCTGGTTTATTCCGGGCCCTAGGGATCCAGATCTGCCTCTATAACTCTGAGGGGAAGGATTTTCTACATCCCCCAACTTTGGGCGCTGGGGGTAGATTCCTCCAGACCTCCCTATTCCCAGGCAGGGGATTTTCTGAGCCAAGAGGCTGGGCTGGGTCTTGGCTGAGCCTTGGAGAGGGTGTAATTACCCGACTACAAGGAGGGCGTTGAGGGCGGCTTGCAAGGGGCCTGTGAATCAGCTGCTCATTGGAAAAGTGGTGGCTGGCAAAGTCAGGGCAGGAGTGAGGACTCTGGCACCAGCCCCTGCAGCCCCATCCTCCACCCCCACCAGGCACAGCTTCCAGAGTCCTGAGACTAGGGCTCAGGCCTGGCCCAGTCTACCCTGTGCCCACTAAGCCACTGAGCTAGAAGCTGAACGGTATCCACTCCTGGGCTACCTATCATTCCCAGTCCAGTTCTCCCTGCTTCTCCCAAAACACAGATGTATCCAGTGAGAGAAATACACACAGATAAATATACTAAGTCACAAACACATATTTTCACACACTTCCCCTGGCCCCTTAGAGATATGTAATCATACCCACCAATACACAGATCCTCAGCCTGGCATGAGGGTAGGCAGAGGCAAGAGGGGTAGAGTAAGCAAGTAGTATTGGTATACCAAGGATAGAGGAAGAGGGACAGGAAACAATCCATTATTGGACAGTGTGGTACAGTAGAGAGAACACTGGATTTGAAGTCTGAGAACTTGGGTCTTGCCAACTACTACCTATAGGACCTTGGGTGAGGTCATATGTTCTCTGGGCCCCCAGTTGCCTTGTCTGTAAAAAATGAGGGAATTGGACTATATCAGGGGTTCTTAACCTGTGGCTCATGGATAGATTTCAGGGGGATCCATGAACCTGAATGGGGAAAAAAATTACGTTTTTATTTCTTCCTTTGTAATCAATCCTATGTATTTTATTTTATGAATTTATAAACATGATTCTGAGAAGTGGTCCATTACCAGACTGCCAAAGGTTTCCATGACCCAAACAAGGCTAGAGGACCTTTAAAGTCTTTCTGACTCTAATTGATTATCCTGGGATCTCGACCAGGCTTAGCAGGTGGAGCCAGGATGGGACTGTCATTAGAAGCCTAGGTTAGCAGTAGGTGCTGGGACCTGCCTGAGATCTGTTGGTCACCAGTGGGAGTGATGTAGCCTCCTGCATTGATGTATGCTCACACTCACCATGAACATGCACTCATATTTGTGCTCACTTATACACTGAGCCCCTACTAAGCCATGCTAATGACTCTGCTACTTGTCCCCAGGGGCCACCAAGGACATGGGGAAGATGCTCGGTGGAGATGAAGAGAAAGACCCTGATGCAGCCAAGAAAGAGGAGGAACGCCAGGAAGCCCTTCGGCAGGAAGAGGAGGAGAGGAAAGCCAAGTATGCCAAAATGGAGGCCGAGCGGGAGGTCATGAGACAAGGGATCCGTGATAAGGTGAGAGGGGCTAGGCGTCTCCTGCCCCAGACAGCTGGGCCCCAGCCCTGCCCTGGCTAGCCTGCGAAGATCTTGGGGGGCAATGAGGAGGAGAGGGTCTAATGGTATGGGTTCAGGTAGGATCTTGGCCTCATCTGGCCGAGCAGCCCCGCAGCCTAGCCCTTTGGGTACACGCGCTCAGGAAAAGAGGGTCCTAAAGACCAATCACAAGATGTAGCTTAGCCAGAAAGCCAGAACAAATGTCACCATCAGAAACGGAAGCTCCCTGGAGCGCCGTCACTCGCCAGCTCCTGGGCTAATGTCTCTGGCCTTTGTTGTTGGCTTCCAGGAGACACACAGAGCTGGAAGCTGGGAATGGGGATGGGGTGGGGAGACGAAAACCATACTTTCTGCATTAGGAGATGCAGGAATGATTTTGTTTGTTTTTAAAATAGATTTTTATTCTTAAACACCACAAAGACAGGCATTTCCATTTGCAGAATAGAAAAAGAAGATTGTGCATAGAACTGTAGATCTCCATTATGTACAGCTTACTTATCTTATTAAGTATATAATAAGGTCAACCTGTAGTTTTCAAAGTTATCCTGCTTGTTTGGACTTCTTTCTGGCTTTCCTTCTGTTCTCTTCTCTGCTTTAAAAAAAAAAAAGATGCCCCATTGACCTTCTTTTCTTTTCTTTTCTTTCCTACCCTTTCTCTATTTTCCGCTTGCCCTTGCACCTCGCATCTACTGGAGTGTGTGAGAGACAGGTCAGATTAGGTTTTCCTGACTAAAAGTCCGGCCTTTTTTATCCATTAAACCATAAGCCAATTTTACAAATACACATATTCATTTATATACACATACAGATTTTAAACATATTTACTTATATACATGCATCTATACACATAAATAAATTTACATATTTATATGTACATCATTTATATACATGTGATATACATAACATGTAGTATTGTTTACATGCATATAGTATGCACATGTATGTCTGTGTGTTTATATGTTTACATGTATATGTATGTCTATATACACATGCAGAGAGGGGGGATTGGGCAGAGGCTCTTTGTCTCTAAGTACTTCTCTTCCAAGGACCTGACTGAAGCTGCTTCCGTCATGGCACTGACTCTGTATTGAAATACTGGGTGCTGAGCTGGCTTGCTATTTTATCAGAGTCTCCACAGGGCATGACTGAATGTCATCACCCCAGTCCCCATGCATTTCCTGTGTAGCATCGTATCCTCTGATCCAATGGCTACCCCTCCTCCCAAAATGACTAAGGACTTTTGGCCGTTGTCCAATGCCTCGCATGGATCGATTGAATCTCTAAAGGTGAAATTTCTGTTGAAAGGATGGGGCAGTAGGGCGTCTTAATTACTTTCATCGGAGTAGGGGGTGATTAAGTGACTGATTCATTTGACCTTACCAAAGAATGGGCAGGAAAGGCAAATTTGGGGCAAGTTTGTGCAGGCCTTTGAATGCCAGGCTATGGACTTTATCCTACGAACAGTAGGGAGCTCTGAATGTTTCTGAGCAGGGGAGGGATGTGATTGGAGCCATATATTGGGAAAATTATTCTGGCAACCATTGAAGGCTGAACTGGATGGGAGAGAGTCTGGAGACAGAGAGATTAGAAATTAACTTATGCCTTAGACCAGGCACAGACTTTGCCTGATTAGCACCATTAACCCTGCGGGCTTCCTACCGATAGAACAGGATTAACGCTTGTTGGCAGAGGAAGCCAGGGGAAGGAGCCGCCGTGGCATTCAATGACCTCTGTAAGGCCTGCACAACTTGACATTACTGTTCCTTGCAGGGTTCCTGGACACTAAGCAGTCGCCCGCCTTCCCTCCCTCTCCTGTCCCCTGCCTTGCCTTCTTGTCCCAAGCCAGTGTAACATGGACACATTTCCCAACAGCCTCACACAGGCTTCTCTGGCCTCTCCCCTCCTTCACTAGCACAGGCCTGAGTTCACACTGGGTTGACTCCTACAGGGACCACATCTCACTGCTGGGAGCAACATCAGAAGTCCTGTTTTATTTTTTAAGCCATTCAATAAATAATTAGGAAAACACCCACCAGCCATGAGCATGCAGCAGAGGGGGCTGGAGGAAGCAGCACCCCTGCGTTGGGGAAGGTTGAGGTCAGAACAGCCCAATTCCAAAGGAGACTAGAAGTGGAACAGACATCCCGAGAGAAGAAAGCTTTGTGTGTGCACGCACATGTATGCATGTGCTTGTGCATGAGTGTACAGGTGCATGTGTGTGCCCGTGTGTGCAAGTTTGCACACACAAATATCTTACTGAGGACCAGGATAACAAAATGAATCTCTCCGAGGGCACCTGCAATGGAAAGTGGGGCCTGCTGGAGCCAGGGCCAGGCCTCATCTCATGGGGCGGCTCAGTGATTTGGGCACCAGGAAACCCATCATGGTAGAGCCAAGCCCCAGCTGAGAAAGTGGCCGTTTTCTGTGCTTATCCTACTCAGCTCCGCTCTTCTCAGTCAAATTAATGAGCCAACCAATAAGCATTGACTAAATGCCCACTATGAACCAGGCACTGTGGGAGGTGCTGGCAACACAAAGACAAAGGCTCGAAATTTCAGTATTGTCTTCCACTCCCTACTCCCATGCACCCCACATATCCAGTTTGTCGTCAGATCTCATTGTTTCTCCTTCACAACATCTCCACATGCGTCCATTTCTCTCCACCAGCATGGCCGCCATTGTTGTCCAGGACCTCATTCATCACTTGCTGCCTGGATCGTTGCATTATCCTCCTAATTGGTCTTCCTGCCTCAAGCCTTTCATTAATTCCAATCCATTCTGTACTCAGTCACCAAAATGAGTTTCCTAAATTGAAGGTCTGACCAGGTCACCCTCACTCAATAACCCCAAAGGCTCCTTATTGCCTCCAGGACCAAATATAAAGTCTCCCATATGGCATTTAAAACCCTTCATGACCTTAGTCCCTTCCTACCTTTTCAGTCTTCTTACAATTTATTCCCCTCCATGAATGCTACAATCTACCCACATTGACTTACTTGCTCTCCCCTGCACATAATACACACCAGTTCTCATCTCCATGCCTCTGTAGTGGCTATCTTCATGTCTGGAATGGTCTCCTTCTTCATTCACTTCTGTCTTTTGGTTTTCCTGGCTTCTTTCAAAACTCAGTTTAGATCCCTTCTTCTTCAGGAGGCCTTTCCCTGTACCCCCAGCCACTAGTGCCTTCCCATCATCAACTATATTTATTTTCTATCAACCTAGCTACTTACATATTATCTCTTCGATTAGAATGGAGGCTCCTTGAGGGCAGGAACTGTTTTTACCTTTCTTTGTATCCCCAGCTCTTAGCACAATACCTAGCACATAATAAATAAATTTAATAGATGCTTGTTGAGTATTGACTGACAGTCCCTGCCCCCAAGGAGTTTACTGGTGAGACAATATGTATGGAATGTTTGGGGAGGGAGGGAAGGCACTAGCAGCTGAGGGGATCAGTGAAGGCTTCCTGGGGTACTTGAGCTGAGTTGTGAAGAGAATCAGGGATTTCAACGGCTGAAGGGGAAAGGGAAAGCATTCCAGGATTGGAGGAGCAATAATCAGTGGAAAGGAAAGCCTCTTTGTCAATGAGAAAAGCGTCATATGTTCTTGTCCTTGGCACCTCACAGACACCCCTCCCTTCATCCCTCTAACCTTCTTTCTGTCTTTCCTACTTTCCTTTAATCCCAAGCTTGGACTATGGGATCTATCAGCTAGTCTGATTTCCGGAGATTTGGTCATCAAACAGAGAAAGTGGAAGCTAGGTGGTATAATTAAATAAATCTCTCCCGGTGCACCTGCTTTGAGATAGAGCACAAGGCTTAGAGTCAAGAACACCTGCGTTCAAGCCTTGCCTCAGATAATTACTAGCTCTATGACCCTGGAAGCCACGTAGTCCTTTCTGTGCCTTAGTTGTTTTCATCTGTGAAATGGAGATAATAATAAAACCTCCCTCGGAGTTGTTGTGAGGTTGGAATGAGTTAACACATAGAAAGGTCTCTACAGCCCTTAGAGAGCTACGTCATACCCCAGCTTCTCTCCTTCTCTGCTGCCTTGGCCATTCTGTACTAGGTGAAGGAAGGCCCTAGATGGCTGGTCTGAGACATGCTTCCAAACATGGAGCAATAATTCATGGTCCCTTGTGGTTCTCAGATTTGTTTTTCCTATATAGCATCAAGATCTGTGTAATTGAAGTAGTAATGTGAGGGACAGGTAGTGATACGAGGGACAAGCCTCCAGTCAGGAAGCTGGAGTCTTCTCCTGGCCAGGATGAGGCCTAATGGCACTAGGCTATTTGTGAAATCTTAGACAAGTGACTGAGTCCAAGTGTTGCAGAACAAATCTTTCTACTAAGGGGATTTGTTCAGTGAAGTTTGGATTCAGTCAAAGGGCCACACTTGAGGACAGAGAGGGTCACGTGTGGCCTTGAAGCTGCAGGTTCACCAATCTCTGCACTAGATGGTTTCTGAGGGCCCTTTCCCTTCTGATTTTCTGTAATTCTATATACCCCAAAACAGGAGGAGTGGTATCAACTGAGGAGGCAATTGATCCCACCAATTGCCTTCTTCCTTTTGTTTTAAATAACCAGTGAGGGTAGTTGTCAGCAGGTCAATCAACAAACATTTATTAAGTGCCTACTATGTGCCAGGTACTATGCTAAGCAATGGAGATACAAAGAATGGCAGAAAACCCCAACACAAACAAACAAACAAAAATCCCTAGTCCCTCCTCTCAAGACGTGATTGTCTCCTACACAGAGGAGGTGTGGTGGATGGAGAAAGCTAAAGGGGTAGAAGTCCTTTTGCTCTGACAGTTGTTCTACGTGGGATCTAAAAAGCTCAGCTCTGGCTGACCAAAAGATTATCCATTGACAAAACTCGCTTCTCCTACTTTTCAAAACAGCCCAAGGCTGGGACACATGGGCAACTCAGTAAAAATAACTGGACTCAATTGAATACATATGT